TGGGAGAGGTTCGCTTGTCCGTCAAGCCATACTAACCTGTTGCATTATCAGGGATTTCGCCATCCAATTGATCTGCTTGCTCCAATCTGCTGCTTTCTGCCATGCAACATTGAGCTTCCTGTGTCTACCGCATGTGCATTCATGTTCATCGTGCCAGAGATCTTGGTAGCAATCAACTCACTGGCACAATTCCTTCATCAATGGGGAACTTTGCAAACCTGACTTATCTGTAAGCCCCCTGAAAGGCCTTTGCTTGGCTGTACTCCAGTTTGTTCCCCTCTCTACTTTCCACCATTTCTCCTCCTGTTGATGCTAGTCCTGATCCATGCTCCGTTGATCACCACCCTCTCCTTTGCTGCATCATGTGGTCTCGTTACTAGTAGTGGGATGGCCACACATTAGAGTGTCTGTCTGCAGACATGCAGAAACTGTGAACTGAGTCTGACACAATTCTTGCTTTCACATGTGTGCTGGTTGGCAAGGGAGAGTGAAGTCACACTCCTGTCTAGGTGGTAAGGGGTACGAGTGCCTGCTGGTGTCAGATTCTGGGCAATCACCAAGGCACTTTTTCAATCCGTTTTCCCAGCATGATGCCTTTCTGCTCCGTTTTGTCCTTGCTCCTTGCTTGTCCCTCTTGATGTCTCTTGTGCATCCCTTTGTGTTGCTCGTCCATTCGTACTCTAACCTTCCGATTTTTCCAGACCTAGAACCTCAAAATCCTTCCATGCTTCCTCCATTCACAGCCCTGAATGCATCATTCCTCCATCCTTCCTCATTCCTTCCTTGTCCTTATTTCCTATCTACCTTCCGGGCATTTCTTCTGCCCCCACCTATCCTCTGCCAGTGTCAGCACACATCCCACGGACTGCGTTTCATGCCTCTGTTGCATTCTGAGGGATTTCGATTTCCATGGAGTTGCTTCCTTTCTTCTATTCGTCACTCGTTGCAATGTAAACTTGAGCTTCCTATATCTACCGCATACCCTTCATATCATACTCATTGTTGCAGATCACTTTCTTCAAATCAGCTCACTGGCACAATTTCTGCTGCAATTGGCAACCTTGCAAAACTGAACACTCTGTAAGCCCCCAACAAGGCCTTCGCTTGGCTGTACTCCAGGTTCTTCTCTTCTCTACTCCCTGTCGTTTCTCCTCCTTTCAACGCCCATGTACTCTATTTTCCCCTCTTCCTTCATATCCACTTGCATCAGCTCCGCTCCGCTGACCACTTGTCCTATCTTGATTTCGCCTGAACTCTCCCCTTTCCCACTGATCTCTTGCCCGTGGTCATTGTATGCATGCCTGACAGGCATAGAACTCGTCTTTCTCATGTCTCCATCCTTCCCCTGGTTGGCACTGTCAGCACAGACATCTCACCCCACCACGAACAATGTCCATCGCATTACCTATCATGTTTCGTGCATCTTCTCTGCACACCCGTTCATGCTCATCCTTGCAGTTATCTTGCTACCAATCAACTCTCTGGCACGATTCCCACTGCAATAGGCTACCTCACAAACTGCTTTGGGTCGAACTGGCAGTGCTAGTCGAACCGAACCGGACTACCTTTTTTTCTGTTGAAACGGCCTGAACAGCTCACGGTTCTAACGTTAAGCCCTGATGTTAAAACCTGGTTTCGAGTCAAACTTCTGTATTTCGTCCTGAATCGGGAGGGTGAACTGTTCCGGGTCTGGTTCTATGTTCGTGTCTACCTGTAAGCCCATGTGCAACGAGTTTGCATCCTTGCCACCACACTCCCCTTCCCCCTCCCCCGTTTCCCCTTCTCTACATTCCGGGTTTAGCCTAGCTGCTGGGATCCGCTTTCCTCATGATATCCCCTGTTCTGCTGCGTCGATAAGGAGACAATCAGCAGCCCGATCAGGTGCAGCGCGCAGATGCTTGGCGACAGGCTGTAGCCCAACGACGAAGCGCCGCGTAGATAGACATGGGCAGATTGACCCGCATGTTGTGTTGACCGGACCTGACTTGGTATTCTGGCCCCAGTTTGTTTGGGTCGACCCGTAATATGGAAAGTTAAGGGTCCGGTCGATCTGTCAGCAAGGGTCGATCCGACTCGTTGACGAGTCATGTTAGTTTGGGTTGAAATGTTCGGCTTAGGTCGGATCGGCCACCAAAATAGACCAATGCGTCTATCGTGGGTTGAATGGTGCTCTTGTTGTCACACCAAAACGCGGGAGCTGGTTGAGGATACCCGAGTTCAACAAGCTGGAAGTAAGGCCAACGGGCCTCCTGGGCAACCATGGTCTCGGCGTACAGCCCTTCTTCACTGGATTGAGGGCGAACGAGTGGAGTGCAGGCTCACAACCCCACAGCCAAGAGTAAAGAAATAACATGAGCGTCTATCACTCTGGTCATCAGCCCACAAGTAGTCACTGTACTCCTCAAGGTGAACGGGTGAGGAACCCTCCAATGTGAGTACATAATCCTGTGTAGCTTAAAGGTAGCAAAGAATTTGCTTGGCTGCAGACCAGTGTTGGCGGATGAAGCGATCAGATGCAACATAGCAAGGGAGTACATTGACTGGGTAGGCCAAGTCTAGCCAAGTGCACATCATCGCGTACATCAGGATCCGACGAGCAGGATACGGCTCGTCGCATGGCTCAGGCGAGGGGATGGGGGGTGCAGTGAGCTGGTGCTGCAGAGAGAGTGGGGTATGCATGCATCGGTGTTGCTTCCAGCATCCCGAACGCTCTAGAACATTGCTCCTGCAAAACTTCTGCGAGATGGTGACGGTGCGAGCCATACGATCATGTGTGATTGTCATGCCCAAATATTTTGTTAGCTTACCAAGATCCTTCATGGCCAGCTTCTGCCAGCTTCTCACCAGGTGCGGTTTTGACTCCAGCTAACTTAGCCTGATCCTTTGTGACAAGTAGTATGCATGTGACTAGAGTCACGTGATTGTGTGATTGTGACCACATTCTGTACTGTGACTTTTGAGTCGAATCAAAACGGTCTGTTTGCAGACATGCAAAAAGTGCTGACTCTGGCAAACACCTCTGTGCTGAGATTCAAGCCACGTTGCTGTCTAGAACCCATGATTTGAGTGCCTGATGGGTTCAGATTCCAAGCGATTGGCAAGGCGCTCTTATTAACTTTTGTGTAGTGGGAGGCCTCCGTGCCTCATTGCTCCTCGTTTAGCTCATCCTTGTTATTGTCGTAAGCTGAACCAATCAACTCACTGTCTATCCCCATTGCAATCAGCATCCTCACAATCACAACACAACAGAACCCAACTACACAGAGCTAGGACATAAAAGGTTTAAGTACAAAAGTCAATATCTAGCAGTATGTACTCCAGTTTCTGGTCCTCTTCTATTTGCCATTTCTCCTCTAGATGCTATTCTGTACCAATGCTCTCTGTTGACCCCTCTTCCCATTATCCTCTTCTTCTATCTTGATTTTCCTACCCTCCCCCCGGCAGTGCTCTCTTCCGCAACTACCTCACAGGCCCCCTGGTGAATCTCCCGCCCATCCGAGTGGACTTGTCCGACAACTACCTGTCAGGTGTTGCGCTCGCAGCAGACTGCAAGAGACACTCCATCGCTGCCAACTGCTTTACACCAAGCAAAAACTGCGTTCGTGAGTTACAGCGGCCCGCAGCACAGTGCATAGCGTTTTGTGGCATCTCTCCAACCACTGCTGCCTGTGGTGGTCGCGGCTTGTGCTACCCAGACAGACCCAGCTTGGTGCGAACGTGCTTGTGTGGTGCAGGATTCTTGCCTCTTGGAAGAATCAGCTGTATTCCAGGAGGTGATAAGCGACTGGAACATTCTCTCATAGCATTATGTTTATACGTTCTAGCATGCTAAGTTTGTGACTGTACACCAAGTGCGGTGTACAGTTTGGTTGGGACTACACCCAACATTGGGTGTAGTCTTGCAGTTGGGGTGTCAATCCAACCCAATTGTGGTGAAGCCCCCAAGTTGCAACCATCTGGTCCTTGGTGGAAGTTGCCAACTCAACCCATTTTGGCCACAGGTTGGCAACAACTTCCCAAGAAGTTGCCAACCCAATCCACTTGCTACAAGTTGGCAACCTTCCCCCAAGTGTTGTCAAACCAACCCAGTGGACCATTGGGTTAGCAACACTTCCCCAAGTGTTGCCAATTCTACCCAATGGGCCATTGATTTGTCCACTCCATCTAGTGTACCTCCCCTTCTTCCTTCTCCAACCCTTTCTTCTCCAACCCTTCCTTCTCCCACTTCTCAAGCCTATGTTTGCTTGTTCAACTTTCTAATCAATCTAATGGTTCAATTCTTTTCACACATTAGACTTCACAGTCTTTGTGCTCCTTCCCTTATGCACTTCGTAGCCATCCTCTATTTTCTTACTTGCATATATCGGTTGAGCCCAAGCTTTGCTGCATGCTCCCCAGGTTATCCATGGTTGTTGAGCTTGTTGAATTAGGGGTGACACGCAGACAAGATTAACTTAGTAATCTTCACATGGTTTTGACCAAGTGATCTGGTTTGCACAGCTTAACACACACATTCCATTGCTCCTCCACTCCCACCCTTCCACTCTCCAGCTCCCTCAAGGAGCATTCTCCCGCCATTCGCGATTCTCACCAAGGGAACGAAGAAGGAAACGGTGGGGAAGTGTCAAAAGTTAGAAGAAGAAAGAGGGTTGAACTAGCAAGAATGAGGATACAAATAGCAAACCCTAGAAGGGTTGTACTCGCTATAGAGCACCCCACTACAGGCTAGAACAATAAGATAATATTCTGACAGGAAGTTCGTGGCAAAGCCAGTGGCTCTGTTTCTGTACCTTCCTGGTGTGACCTCAGGATGCGGCTTAGAGTTGGCCTTCAAAGTACACTTCACCTTTGCTCTCGTGCCCCAGTCTGGTACTGCCAGTTCCAACGGCTTTGCATTTGTGATCGCAGCAAAGCCCAAGGTGGGGAAGCCTGGTGGTGTGGGGTATAGAGGAGTGGGACCTAGGAGCATGGCTGTTGTCTTCAGCACACTTCCGACTGATATGGGTGAACAGCACGTGGTGCTGAGTGTCAACGGCACAGAGGAACCCTTGGTCAAGGAGGTGTCACCATTCACTTTCACAGATGGCAGTGTATACACTGTGTGGGTGGATTATGAGCATCGGAATCCCAGCAGCATTCAAGTGTTCCTGGCGGATTCAAAGATGAAGCCAGAGGAGCCACTGCTGCAGGGGAAGGTGTCGCTGTGTGCGGTGCTGCAGCCTGGAGTGAAGCAGACGGCGTTCTCATTTGGTTTTGTGGCGTCCAACACTGTGAAGCCCTTCCAGCTACAAGGCATTTACTCCTCCGCTGTGCAAACAGGCAAGGTTATTTCGGCAGGTGGGGTGATGGTAACTGCCTTGATGATGGGTGCGGTGCGGGTGGTGGTGGTGATGGTGGTGGTGGGGTGGTGGTGGTGGTGGCGGCGGCAATTGTAGCGGCGGCGGCGGCGGTGGTGGTGGTGGTGGTGGTTAACTATTGGTACTTACAGCTTCTAGGGTTCAGAAGGGGTGTTCGAGCCCCTATTCCCTTCTCTCTTCATTCCTAGCACCCCTCAGTAATCCAGCTCGGTTGCACGGTCACTTCTTCTCTTACGCGTTAATTCCTTCAAAGCTGAGATATTTCGGCATTCTGGTTTGACTGGGTTCATCGTGAACCAATTCGGGTTTGAGCGTTGCTCATGCCTAATGAGCAATACAGTAGGATTGGGTGTTTATTTCATGTGTTCTGCTGTGTATTGATGATGATGATGGCACCTTTCATAGTGCTTTATGGCTTTAGTGCTTCTCTTTCTTCTTGTGTCTCTCTCCACAGGCGCTCCTTTACCCAAGCCAGTCCAGTCCAATGAGCAAGGTGAGCTCCTTGACATGTGGGAACCAGAGCCTATAATGATTAGTGGCAACCTGCAGAATATATATATATATATATATATATATATATATATATATATATATATATATGAATACTGGCGTGTACCGAACAGCATCCATCTTCCAACCACGCCGTTGTGGTCCGTTGTTAGTGCACTATGTGCAGAACTACCACCGAATAATCTTAACTGGCTACCACTCTAGGTCACTAGGGAAGTCAAATGAATGGGGGCTTTAGGATAAACTCTCAAAGAGCTGATGGTAGCTGATGGTAGTCACTACCCTGTCTGCAGCACTGGTTGCCCGGTTGGGAGCACTTGCCCATTTTTGTAGCTTATTGCTTGCCTATTCAACAGCGCCCTTGGCCGTGCTGCTCATCACTACCTCGTTAGCTCTAGGATGCTAGAGATTGAGGGGTTGTTAGAGATTGACTTCAATGTCAACCTGTGTACTCGTACTTTATACCCTGATTTGGTGTCGCTTTAGTTTGTGAGGTGGATTGCACCAATATTCGAACCTTACCCTATTGTGATCATCTGAATAATTTAACCGAATGGATAATGTAACCCATCCCATTGGGGGATGCCGTCGATTCTTTCCAGTTCATTACTGATGTACGTAAGAATCCTTGACCTCCATTATTAACCGACTCAATTATTATTTCTTAACCGCACCATCAACTACTACCTCCATCCACATATCTGTACATGTCCAACCCTTGCTGCCCGAAACAGCCCTTGGCCTCTCACTGTCAGAGGCCACATTTGCGCCATCTCGAGCCAGTCCCTTTTCGCGCTATGTGAGTGCGGACTTCAAGTTGTCTGCCACCAGAGCAGACTCATGGAGTATTCGTGACTTCCACACGTGGGACTCTGTGCCCTTCCTCAAATGGCCTGTCAAGAACCAAAATGACTGCAGTGAGTGAAAACAGAATCATAAGTCCACGTCAGTATCTGAGCTGCTTTCCAATCCATTTTGCTGTTGCTGTTTACTGATCGACTGCAACAACAAGCTCGTTAACTAAAAATCTTGGCATTCCTTATTTACTCTAATGTGGAGATTCTCACTGATTATTGTAGTCTGTACCGCGTTCATGCGGCAGATGCCAATGAACGATTACATAGAAGGCAAGGCATACAGTCTGAAGTACGGCACATCAAGAGCAATTAAATGGAGAAGGGGGGATTGGAACACAACTCCATGAGAATCTATTCAAACTGTGAGGAAACTGGATTGATTAAGTTGTCGAATCTACACTTTACCCCTCTTACCATAAAATCGTAGCCCAAATACATGAAATGTGCAGCCTATCTTCATCACTGCATCCTTATTGCAAGCTTCACCTTGCTTCACCGTCGCCTTCCTCTCAGATGCGTGCTGGGCGTATGCAGTGGTGGCGAGTGTGGAGGCGGCATACGGCATTGCAAAGCAGCAGAGCGCTCCCCGGCTGGCTGTTGAGGCGCTCTTTGCGCTCATGGGGCTCTCCGACTCTGACAAGTGCTCCGCTGGCGGCTCCCCCACGCAGGCCTTTGAGAAGCTTGTGGCACTTGATGCCACCAGTGGGCTCACAGGGGCCAGCGACCCGGTAGGGCCAGCAGCACGAGGTCGTGGTATGATATGGTATGTAACATGGGAGGTGGGATAAATTCATGAAAGATATATTCTTGAGAGTATTGTGGAGGGTAAAATTCTATGCTTGCTTTCCTGTTCTAGGATTCGAAACTGGTACACCATCTGATTATAAAAATCTTGATGCCACCAGTGGGCTCACAGGGGCCAGCGACCCGGTAGGGCTAACAGCACGAGGATGTGATCTAGTATGATATGTTTCATGTAAGGTGGGATAATATCATGAAAGATATATTGGTGTCAGCTTTGGGGAGGGCAAATTACTTTTCTTGCTTCGCCGTTTCAGAATCCGGAATGGTAACGAATGCAACTCATCCAACCAGCTTGGCAAGTCTATGTTTCAGAATCCGGAATGGAAACTTATACAGGTTTCTCATCGGTGTCTGATCCCAGAAATTCGTTGCTGATCTACTGAGGCATCGTCTGACGTGGTGGAAGGTTTATCGTTGTGTTGCTCATAGCTTGCCTTGCTTTTTTTTGCTTGTCCCTTCTCATGAGGGACGAGTGTACCCTTCCCTGGTTTCAGAACTTCTTCAAACCTCCCCCTTCCCACCCCAATCTCACCCCAAACCCCAACCCAACCCCACCTCTTCCCATCGAACAATGCTGCAATGTCGCGGCCCCAGGCAACTACATACCCGGTGCAGGTGTTTGAGCAAGCGCAGTTCAAGGGGTATGTGGGTCTCATGCTGGCAGTGCAGCGGCAGCCAGTGTTGGTTCACATCGAGGCATCTCCAACCTTCATGCGGTATGATGGGGTGAGTTGCTGCACCTTTCGCTCACTTTGGTGGCTACCGTGTTAAGTGTGTGGTTGCTTGTGTCACCTGGATGGTAGACGAGTCCCATCACTTTAGAATGCTGGATCCGCCTTTTTCAGCTTCACACACACCTGTCTGACCTGTTCTGGTTGAACTCCCCCTTTCTGAATGTTTTGCCCTCATCTCACTCCAGACCTTTAAATACCAGGATCCTGGTTGCTACACAGGCAATCTCAACCATGTTGTACTCGTTATTGGCTACTTCATTACAAGAAATGATGGCAGCCAGAACCGCATTGCTCCTCCGTTTTGGATCATCCGCAACTCGTGGGGAGAGGATTGGGGCAACAAGGGCCACATTCGCATGGACATTCAGGGAGGGGACGGCGTGTGTGGCATCAACGTGCTGCCTGGCATCTACCCCATTGTAAAGAGTAAGGCATCTACCCCATTGTCAAAAGCGGGCCATATCTGAACACTATCATGGGCGAGGTGAGCCTTATCTGCCAGGCAAGGTGCATGTACCTCTGTATGTGGTCCGTGCTGCCTACCCTCTGCTGCAAGCCATGGTTGCTTGCTCTCCTCTCTTGCCAAAACCGCCTTTGTTTCTCTAGGGCCGCTGGTATGACTTATAACATCTGAGAGGACTCAATTTGGTAATGTTACTCTCATGTAGTCACTCCGTCAGATATTCAACCGTCAAATCTTTGAGTAATTTGAGAGACATTTCTAGTGTCTTGGGATGAGCAGGGTACCAAACTGAACTGGTTCGGTTTTATACCATTAAAGTCCAAACTGGTTCGCGAAGAGACCAAATCTCTGGTGACCAGCTCTTGATAAGCTCACTCGGAGAGCACCATATACTAGCATATTCCAACCCCTAAGTTCTACAATACGATATTGTAAACAGATACATACGACTCATGAATAAAGTAGTATAGCTATGGCCCTAGAAAACTCAAAGTAAATGCGGGCAAGCAGCAACAGAGGCAAATGGAAGAGTATTAGGTCGAATGTGAACAAATGAAGAGAACATGCAAGAAGAGCATTAAAAGAAGCAGCTACTGAGCAAATTCAGTAGAAAAATGAGGACTACGGTTGTAAAGGTGGGATTCTAAAATGAGGCAGGAAAGAATGTAGAGAAGGAATGGGTTTGGTAGGACTGGCTTAGATATGGAACATATTAGCACATGAACAGTGTGCGTGGAAGCTGAAAGCCGAAATTTTGTTCACTAGAGGTGAATCATAGCGTCAAGCTTGGTAAGCACAAACGCACCTGTTACTGTGGTGCTTAGCAAAGTGGCATGAGCTCCCTTGTCTCTTTCCTCCAGGCTTGTTTGTCTGCTCTAAGTGTCTGCTGTAACCTCCATCATTATTATGGACTTCAAGTGTATCCTCTTTAACACCTTCCAGTTCCAGGGGACCCCTACGGAGAAAGGAGCTACAAGGGCGATGGGGATTTGCAGCCCAGCATGAACCCGTGTGGCAGGTTCCAGTGCCTGGGGACGACAGCAAGCAGCAATAACTGCACCTGCAATATTCCCACCGCTACTGTGCAGCCTTTTGTGGAAGTTGCAAATGGAAATGGCTCCACATGTGCTTATGGTAAGATCAGTGGCAAGTTTAATGGGTGAGTGGAAGGGCATGTAATTTGATCTAACACTAAAGTATGTCGTGCTATTGTAGCACGCAGTAGTTTTCAAATATATGCAGATTGTCTTACAGAGAGTGTGGGCAATGAGGAGAGCGAACAGGACTCCTCTAAGATCCTTGTGCTCTACATGCTATTGCCTGTGTCCAATGTATGTTAGAGGTCCCCCAGAGGTGGCTGGGAGTGTGCAGACCTTATACCCCTTTTTATTCCCCAATATTTCCCCTCACTTTCATCATAGTAACCATGCTTGTCTTAACTCTCTGTACTATCTGCCTCCTCGATACGCGTGTGGCAGTGGACGTGTGTGGGTCATACTTCAAGAACCCCTGCTACGTGGGAGCATGCATCAACGATGGCAAGGGCTCTTACTCTTGCATTTGCCCTCCCAACCACGTTCAAAGCACAACAGTTGACGGTTTCCCCACCTGCGATCCAAGTAAGTCACTTCAATATGTCCATAGGTCTTGTTCACTGGTGAATATGCCCGGTAGCCTCCGCTTGCTTCGTGTAGCTGGCATCTTCCATTCCTCCAATATTTTTTCTCTTCCTTCAAATCTTCAATGGATCTCTTTCTCTCCTTGCCTCTATCTCACCCCCCATTCTGCCTGCAGCTAACACCACGGCCACCACAGTGACAGTCAGTGGAGACAACTGGTGGTGCTCAGATGTTCATCGGCTTATTGGCCTCTCACTGACTGACTTCACAGACCAAAACAGAGTGAGTGAAAAGGGTGTTCGAGTTATGAGCCGTGATTCAGCTCTGTACTTCCATCCTTTCACCCTTACATCAACGAACAGATACTCTCCACTCTTTCTTTCACAGGACGACACCTAGATGCTGTATTGAATACTGAGGTGTGAGAACCTTACTCTCCCGGGCCTAGTGAGGATAGGAGGCCTTCCCTGTGTGGTACTGAGTTCTCATTCATGCACGTGTTTCCCCTTTGCAGGGCATTGACTGCAGCCAGCCATTGCCCAAGGGAAGTGTCCTTCAGCTGGCTAATACTCCTGCCACACCATGCACTGCTTTCTTCTACTCCCTCAATGTGAGACCTGCTGCTTTCTTGCCCACACCACAACATGCACTCGACCAACTTGCATAGACAACTTCCCTGCACATCCCAATCACCCGGAAAATATCACTAAGCACATCACAAGCATCAGTCATCACTTTCCCTGCCCTTGTTCAACCCTCCAGGGGGACACCTGTGCATCCATCAGCACATCGCTCAACTTCAATTACGAAAGTCTCACAACTCTCAACCCCGGCCTTGACTGCTCCAAGCCCATCAAGGCGGGCCGCTCTGTGTGCGTCGAGCGCAGTGCTTCCTTTGCATTCACCGTGCCTGAGTGTGTGAGATACGGCACGCTCACACCTCGAGACACGTGCGAGCAGCTACTTCAAAGGACCAGCAAGCGCGTGCCCCCTGCGGAATCCAATCCCAATGACAATTCACAAGGGGGTGCCAGTGAGAATCCATGGGCTGTGCTGTACCGCAACAATCCCGACCTCACTTGCTCCAACACCATCCCTTCCTCTGCCTCCGCTATCGGCAGCAATATTGGTGTGCAGGTGAGGATTGTGAGGGCTGAGGGGTCGTGCCTTATCACCTTTGCGTCTATTCTTCAATCCTTGTTAGTCTACTCTAGTTTCTCCGATGCCCTTATCAATTTATGAACCTTTGTCCCATCCCATGCATCCTACGGCTCCAGGTTTGCCTCAGGGCAGAGTATTGGTCGTTCACGATGGGTTTATGCAAGAAGGGTAGGGCCAAGCCTGTGCAGCGGTCAATGGCGTGCTCAGCTGCTTACAGCTTCTACGGTGGGGCTACCTCAAAAGGAATAACACGTTTTTATGAGTACAATGGTAGGCCTTGCTCTGGAACTATAGCAGAGAAGTCTATTTGCGTGCCATCGTAATTTCAAGTGACGTCCAACTACCATGTTTCACTCTGTGAATCATACCCCGAGGTAACTTCATAACTGCTAAGGGGGAATTGTGGAGGGCGATTCCGCATACGATGAAACACGATGGTGGTTCAGTAAACTCGGGGTTACATGCTAAAACAGCGCGAATATTAAGAGTCTCCTTTGCCAATGCAAAATTGCAAGCAGCTTGCACTAATCTGTAGTCTCCATGGTGCTACCATAATTCTCTAGATAAAAGACCAGAGGGGGGTTTAAAGCGAGCATCCCTAAATTGTGAAGGGAGGCCCTGAAAGCATTGTTGAGAGAAGTGAGAGTGCTTTGGATGCGACAATAACGTGCTTACTATTTATTTGATGACCATGCAGGTGAGCAAGTGAGCAGCGCGAAACTCCCCACGCAGCTCGACAAACTCCTCGCGCGGACTTGGCACGGTGCTGTCGGCCAAGCCCTTCAGCCTGGCGACCTCCAGCTAAGGTTCTATCGACTCCCTCCAGGTGATGAGGTCCCGTCGACCTTGCTGTAGTGCGACAGTGATCCGGTCTGGCGAGAACTTGAAGTAGCCATACGCCGGTGCAATCCCGCACGCCGCCACATGCGTCATCGCCGAGAGCCCTCCACCGCTTCGTAGAGGAGATCGACGTTGACCATCGACGTTGGCACGCGAGCTGCCTACAGCCGCCGTCGACCACTGCACTCGCGCCTGAATCCTGTCAATGCCATCGTCGACCTTGATCACCCCTCTCTGCTTCGTGCCTTTGCTGCCGCTGACTAGCGCATTGCCGTCGACCTCGTCGTCAACGCCACTTTCGTTTTTCACCAATCGAGGAGATGCATGACAGGAAAGGTGTTCCGTTGCCCACTGCGACCGGATGCCCAACTCGGCGATCATTAAGGGGATCGTTCCGTACTCGCCATCCACGTGGCGTTTCCTCGCATCAGCCCAACGTGCCTCCAAGGTGTCCGCTATGCCCATATCAACTAGGGGGTTGACCATGACGACTTATGCTGCGGTCGGCCTACGAACGACTTGGTAGGTGCAAAAGTCAGCTCCTATCTAAAGGTAATCTACGGGGCCAACCACGCTCACCGCACCATGTGGAGAGTCACTCTACAACAGTAGTGAGCTAGACTACGAGGGTTGGCACGAACTACTAGGAGTGATCGTAGCTATGCTTAGTTCCTTAGTGCTTGCTTAGTTTCCACTTGCAAAGCCAGAATTACAGAATGATTGAACAAGTAATGACAGAAATGACTACATCGGGCACCTAGCAACTCTGCAGCTAGCGTGGTCGACCGCCAGCACAGCTTGGTGGACCGCCTACCAGCGTTGCGTAGAGGAGCCGTGCCAGCACTGCAGAAGGGCGACCTGCCAACACAACAGGTTGACGGCGTGCCAACGCTGCACCAGAGCAGCTGTCTAGCGTTGCACCCATATAACTCACCAGTGGGCATGCTCGCAAGTGCGCGCAGACGATTGGCCCGACTTGCATCCGTCGGCTGTTGTCTGCACCTGACGAGCCACACCAACTTCGGGTTGTTAAAGACTAAGGACGGAGTCTACGAAGATTAGGTGCCTAAAAGTCTCAAAATCGTTGGCTTAGAATTCTGGACAGAAAACGTCGACTTCACAAGAAACGCCGTCGACGAAAGGTGCACCGTCAAAACTTCAAGAAACTCATATATGTTGTAGCTCTAGTCCGTGGCTATAATTCCCAAGTTGAATCATATGAAAATGTGAAGTATTTCGTGAGTTATCAATTTCGGCGCACTAGGGGGTATGCTGCCATAGAATCTTCACTCAATCACAAGAGTCTCACACAAGTTCACAATTTCTACACAAGGAAGTTAGAGTAGCACTAAACCAGGTAGGAGGGAAGAGGAGGACGAGAGGGAAGGTCCCAAGAGATTCCCCAACCAAGGAAACCCCATGCCACACAATTCCCTTCCCCATAGGCAACCCCACTTTCACATTTGTCACTTTCCCAACTCATGCCATCCACCTCAACCCACTTGGCCACACTTGCCAACCTGGTTTGGCTTCACCCAACCACATGGCAGCATTCTACAGTGATGGGTTCGAATTCCCAACCCCCAAAAGTCTGTACCCTATATTGAGTCAACCCCACAACTTCCCATAGTCGCCACAACCGAAGTACAGAAAGCATACGAACTCCAACGTTCGTAACTTTCTTGATATTGCTCCGATCGCGACGATTCTTGGCTCGTCGGAAAGATCTTGAGCAGTGGAGTCACTTCAGATATCTGCTCAAGCCAAATAACATTCACACACACTCAGAAAATCCAAACCACAGAAAAACACAAATTCTTGCGCACGCTCATTTCACACATGCAACGCACGAACACATGATGGGAGGCAGACAGACGTGAATGCAAATGATAGCATCACATAACACGGGTTACCAGCCCGAAGTCACCTTTGTCACCGCGACCTCGACGACATTTGCGTGCTTTTGCTGAACTCGCTGAGCAGGTTTCCTGGTCAACCTGGTCGACCACTAGGTGCCTCTGGTCGACCACTAGATGCTATAGTCGACCACCAGGTACTCTGTTCGACCACCAGGTGCCAGTGGTCAACCACAGCTCCCGTTGAGCTACCCCCTGGTCGACGGCCCCCTCTGTCGACCAGAATTGTCATCTGTTGTCGCCGAGCTCCTCTCGTCGACAGCTGCCCCACAGAGGTCCCCTGCAGCTCGACGAAGCCCGTCAAGCAGCTCTCTTACTGTGAACATCCGGCTGCTTCTCCCGTACATCCGACCAAGTTGTCTGCGTTGCCCAAGCAAAGGCAGGGCCAACAATCCACTCCCGTTAACACGCGCACCCCGGTAGAACCTTGTCGCTGAGATTACTTGGTCGACTAGAAAACCCTGAAGTTGGCGTCAACTTGATCAACAGTAGGAGCCCCCAGACCGATGCACATCCTCGTTGACCGCCCAGGTCGACACCACCCTTCGACTATACCAAGTCGGCATCCCTGCATGTCGACGAACCCCTTCGTTGACCACACCACTAGAAGTAAGCGAGCGACTGCCCATTATCGGCAGCTTCGCAGTATTCCTACGCAAGTCGACCAAGTGAGTCGACTTGCTCGCCCAAGTCGGTGTTGACCATTACAGGCCGTACCTCCATGTGTCATGCCAGTGCCCCTCCCCGGTCCGTGGCCCACGTCAGGAGCGCTGATTCCTGATTGTGGTGGACGACTACTGCCGCTACACGACGGTTTTCCCCTTGTGACCGAAGGCCGACGTGCCTACCGTCCTTGTGTTGGGTACAAATAATATTTTTGCACGTCAACCAGCCGCCTGCATGAAGTCCCGCATTTTTTGTGTGTTCTGTGCGCATCCGTTTTTGCATTCTGCTTCATGTGTTTTTGTTCGTGGGCACATGACAAGTCATGACGGATCATGACGAGTCATGAATTCTCATGACGACTCATGTTTGTTTGCTAATTTTCATGAACTACTATGCGCGTTCATGATAGTTACGAGCGTCATGAAAGCTCATGAAAGCTCACGGGTTTTCATGAGCACTCGTGGCGAGTGTCGAGTGCGTTGGGGGGTGGTGGGCTCGAGTCTTTGACTCGGCCCCTTTGACCAATTTCGCGCTGGTCAAAAAGTGCGCGAAAGTCAGGAGCCGCGCGTGGGGTCCTGACATGCGCGTATGGCCCCACAAGGCCTACGCGTGTGTCGCAACTGTTGCGACCGTGCACAGTTGCACGATCGCAACTGGACAGGGCAATTATTGCCCTGCCCCACGTGGGACAAAGCACGATCGCGTCAGCGATCGGCTTTTTCTCGCTTGACCGGGAATGCCACAGGATTACGGTTGACCAACCGTATCCCGCGCTGACTTGGAAACAATGGGCTTCGCGCGAAAGTCACGCCGCTTAGGGTGATCATTTTGACGCGGGTACAAAACGGTAAGTACCGTTTTATCCACGGTAAAATCCGTTCTATAACTGGAAAAGGGTTTCTCACACGAGTATCCATGATTCCTCATGAGAACTCGCGTAAGTTCATGACGTGAATCAGCAGAGGCCTTGGTTTCAATTCAAGTGGATTACAGTTAATTATAATGAGGCAGATTGAGCCAAATCCTTTAGCAGTTTCACAACCGTTTTTCTATTACAGCGAAGCGAAGGCCTGGATTTGTCAGA